ATCGTATTACCCTTGATGTCCTGAATGTCATCAAAATGTCTTCCTTTCAATATTTCCTTTATCTTCGGGTAAAGAAAGAAGTCATTGGGGCCAGATCAGGTGAGTAGGGAGGGTGTTCCAATACAGTTCTTTGTTACCGGCTAAAAACTCCCTCACAGACAGTGCCGTGTGAGCTGGTGCATTGTCGTGATGCGAGAGCCATGAATTGTTGTCGAAAAGTTCAGGTCGTATTAACTTTTTCGTGCAGGCTTTTCAGCACTTCCAAATAGGAAACTTGGTTCACTGTTTGTCCAGTTGGTCACCAATTCATAATGAATAATCCCTCTGATATCCAAAAAGGTCAGCAACATCGTTGCAACAAGTTCACGAGCTTAATTGTCAGAGCTCGTAGAGCTGGATGTGGTGAAGCTAATATGAGCCCAGGATCAGGCTCCCCGTTTTATGTTCCCCCCACTTCCCCATGGTTCTGCCCTCTAGGAATTTATGATCGGGCTAGGATTATAAAGGAGAACGAGAAAGAAAGGATCCTATATTACTTCTGCTTTTCTCCTGGTTACTCCTTAGAGCAGCTCTGTGAGGCAGACCTTTCTAATATCCCCTTTTTACAGATGAGGAAAACTGAGGCTCAGAGAAGGCAGGAAGCAGAGTTCAAGGCTCACCCTCAAGTCTCCAAATCACCCAGATAGTGAGCAATATACATAGTTCAATGCTAACAATTTAGCACGTAATCATACACTATTCCACTCTGTATTGTATATAATTTAATACTAATTGCAGGGTTTCAGAATGAACTGAAGTGAACGGGAGTGAGAATGTCACAGGGGGAGAGAGACTTTGGGAACTGAACTGGACCTTGGAAAGGATCAGGATGGAGGCTGGAGGGAGATGGAATGGATTGTGGAAAAGGGAATACAATGATGAAGGCACCTGGGTGGGGACCGGGAGGGGCTCAGACAGTGCGATTTAAATAATAGAACTCTGTGAGTGTAAATGTGATGTCCATTGAAAGCTTTCTCAGTGCCAGGTACTATGGTAAGTCCTTTCCACATTCGCCCTATGAGAGAAAGGAACATTCACCCAGACAGGTGCTGTCATTATCTCTGTTTCACAGATGAAACTAAAGACAGTGTTACGACTTGGAGCCAGTGCGTGCTCTCCCCAGCTCAAGTCCAGAGATGTCCTGTTTGAGGCGGGTGCTTGGCTAATGTTTGGGAGTAAGAAGGACAGACCCACAAGCCCCACCTGGAACCTGTTGGAAACTCCGTGTCCAGGCCTGAGGGATCAGAGCTGGAGTTTCAGCACAATCCCCGGTGTGCACACTTAGCGTTTGAGAAGCACCGGCTGGTGGAGTTGGGCAGGATAGAGGCCTGTGCTCTTCAAGTCTTTCTGATGACCTCTTTCTCCTGGCAAGGACGAATGCATATTCTGGAAGGTTTGAGGTACAAGCCCAGGGCAGCCCACCACAGCTGAGAGTGCTTTGAAGTCTCATATGTCCTCTAAAAATGCCATCGAATGTTTCATTACATACGGTAACATATATCAGTGGTCATTTTCATATTTCAAAACGGTTATGTAAATTGCCTTGGCTCCCGTTCCTGGAATACACATGGGATGGGTTTCCTTGCTTCTTAAATGGGGTAGTAATAACCACTTCAGGGATGGGAAGATCAGAGGAGGATCATGTATATGGAGTGCTGCATAAATTTTTCTCATCATACACACATCATTCTAGAAGGAACTGAGACCCTTCCCCACACCCAGTGTCCTGCAGCCAGCTCTCCTCAGCCCTCAGCCCTGGACTAGGAGTGACTCTGGGGGTTCCCCAGCCAGGGGGCCCCTTTCCTTGTAATCAGAAAGAGAAGTGAAGGCAGAGGGAGAGAGACTCGGAGAGGTGAGATGGGCAGAGACAATTACCATCCACCTCTGAGGCCAAAGGAGGAGGGAGGCTCAAGAGGCGC